TCGATATGAAACGGTATAGGATTAGACGGTATATAATGAATATAGAGACAGTCGTGTTGATAACGTGTTGTAAACTATATAATAATAAAGTGAAATTTTATAACATGTGTTTGTATTAAGGAGAGTAATAATTAGCTAAGAAGATGGACGAGAGGAAGAGAGAGTTATGAGAGAGAGACAAGAATGTAGGTGTGTGTATATCAACGCGAGAGAGAAGAGTTCTTCTTCATCTATTAACTTTTCACTTCTACAAATATATATAGGAAAGAAAAGGTTGGTTCACTTCTTTTTAAAAAACGAAGTAATTATTAAACAAATGGTAAAATGGATAAACATTATCCATATGGATAATTATCCTTTTATAACAGATGAAAGTTTCTTTGCACAAGAAAAAGAAACAAAAGCAAAAACATTAGAGAAATCTCTGTGACGTACAAATCCACCCTTATTTTGTTGTCATTGGATGAAAAATGTATCTCCGAGAAACAAAATTACAATATAAACACAGAAACTAAACTGACAGAATATATAAATTTCTCAAAAACTAAACACACATGGAAACTCGAAACTAATCGAAAGAGAAAAATGACTGATTGAGAAACAAAACGTAGCCACTAACGCTGAATCGCTGAATCGTAACACATGTGTGACTACGCRTTCTCAAATTCTTTAATAGAATTTTTTTATAAATCGATACAGGTAAGATTTTTGATTTGATTTTTGACAAAAATTTGAAGAATCACTTGAATATTTAGAGATTATGACCAACAACCAACAAATTATTGACGAACGTAGTTATATAAGAGGTCAAATCTTAAGAGTAATACTTTTTAAAAATAAAAATAAATAAAAAATCTTACGAGTTATAATGTTTCTTTATAATGCCTACCTAGTAAAATGGCATAATAATAAGGGTTGTTTACTAGAATGACCTTGTCAAGCAAAGATTTGGAATAGAATGACCTCTATCTTTGAATATTATTATAATGACCTTGAAATTTTTTTAATTCATGTGTTAACCTTATTTCATTTGAAGACAAAAATAGATTTACGAAACTACCATTAATGAAGCCGAAATTTTTTCCCGCCAAAATTAAATAAGTCTACCATTCTGTTACGGTAGACTTATTACGGTTCTGGTAGACTTATTACGGTGTACGCGATGGTAGACTTATTTATAGTTGTGGTAGATTTATAATATGTGGTAGACTTATTTGTAGTACTGGTAGACTTAATTTTATGATAGGTAGACTTATTTGTAGTGATGGTAGATTTAATTTTTTGATTGATAGACTTATTGATGTTTAGCGATGGTAGACTTATTTATAGTAGTGGTAGATTTATAATATCTGATAGACTTATATTTAGTGGTGGTAGACTTAATTCTGGTTTCGCTCGATGGTAGACTTGTTTAAAGTTGTGGTAGATTTATTAAATTTGGTAGACTTATTTGTCTTTGTGGTAGACTTATTAAATCTTTTCAGAGTTTTACTAGAATGACCTTACTTAATTACAGTTGTGGTAGATTTATTTATAATAGTGGTAGATTTATAATATGTGGTAGTGGTAGATTTATAATATGTGGTAGACTTATTTGTAGTAGTGGTAGACTTATAATATTTATTTATAGTAGTGGTAGATTTATTCAATGAAGGACAAAATCATAATTTACCCTTCATCTTCTCCAACACACCCAAGCTTATATCAAACCCTAACAATGGCGGCCACCTCATTTTTAGCTCGTTTTTGCTGTGTTTTAATTTGTTTTCAACTGGTTTTAGCCTAAAACTAGTAGATCTAACATCATATATCCATTTTCTAACAAAAAATCAAAAGATTTTGAGTTTTTTTTTCAACTTTTGATTTTTAGTTCAATTTTTACCTAAATCTCGGTACTTCTGCAGCCTCCCCACCTTCGCCGAGCACGATCCAGTGCTTCCGCAGCCTCCGCGACGGTGGTTTCAAACAAATGTTTTATTTATTGGTTTAAAGAATTTCTAACGTATACATATGGTGGTAGACTTATTGGGTAGTTATGATAGATTTATAAGTTTTTTTTTTTTAGGTTTCAGGATGGCAGTTGCGTAAATAARATAGATTATTAAAGTTTATTTGTCTTTTATCGAGTTGTGTCAAGTTACTAGATTTGACAAAGTCATTCTAGTAATTACCTTACTTTCCAAAGTCATTCTAGTAATTAATTCTAATAATAATGATACAATGAAAGTCTAAATAATCTGTTTACAAGGAMACAAAAAGCTTATTCTATATAAGACATATTAAAGAAACAAAATTACAA